TTTCAACATCATCATCACCATTAACAAATTATCCAAAGAATATGACAATACCAAACTATCTATACATAACAGTTTTTCGTTTACCAAATTACGCAAATTCATCAAAAGATGTATTAGATGAAACTTCACATTCAAGTATTCTACTCTTTTTACTCTCATGTTTATCATCAATAACATGTCACCCATATCGTAAACAAAAAGATTTAATATCAACATCATTATCTATTCCATTAGCAACAATAACAACAATAAATAATACAACAATAGTTGATGATAATGAGGATGAATATTATGAAGATGATATTGAACAAATAGAATCAACAACAACAGTACAACAATTAAATACAATTAATAAGAATAAGAATATTACAAATTCTAATTTTTTCGTGATAAAGATACAAGTTTTGGTACAGGTTCAACACATTTACAATAGAAACCTGATGAAATAATTCAAATACAAAAATTACAGGGAGAATACGTTATTTATTTATTTGACAGATTTTATTTAATATTTTCAAATAAACTATCTGAAGAATTATTTGATGATGATTTAATTGAAATAATAAATACATCATGTTGTATACTAGTAATTGAATTATATTCACGTAATGATTCTATATTAGGTAACGGGTGGGCCGAAAGTTTTGGGACAAAATGTTTCTTCATTTTTCGACCGATTAAGTATGTCAGCAGAAACATTAGAACAATGGATTAGAATCAGAATTTTGTGCTCTTTCAGAATCTATGCTCAGAATTTTTGTAGAGCTCATAACTTAGGAGTTATGACCGAATCTTTGGAAGGCCAAAAAATAAAGTTTGGACGAAAGCAGTTATACTAACAGATCCAGAGAAGAAAAATGTAATCGTATGTCTTTTGAAATTGATTTCCTGCTATTGTTCAGCAACGTTTCTCGGCACTTTCTTATTTTCGTCCTAACGATGTCCAATTTAACTTAGCCCAAGTTCCTTTGGGTTGATTGTATCGTGTTTTCAAACTTTTTAAATCAGGACCTTGACAGTATACGTCCATCTCAACAATAATACTCCTTTATTGAATATCTTCTATGACCGATTTTTTGCACAATATCAAGGGCGAGTCTGTTCTCTACAAAGTGAGCTAAGAACCAAGAGTCTTGCAGCATCCCTTCCGAGATGATCAACCTCTGTTTGACAGTCTGAATACTAAGGAGTTTCGAAAACGTCTCTGTACCTCTTACTAAAACTCTCATTACTCAAAAAAGCTTCATTGGAAATTAATGATCAGACTATCGTTTTGTAGAGAAATGTTTGTTCTTTCTTTGGATGTATTCGAAATAAATTTTACGCCTGTTTTGGATGTTTTTTTTGCGCACTGAAACCTGTCCAAACTTTACTTTTAGGTCTTCCAAAGATTCGCTCATAACTCCTAAGTTACGAGCTCTACAAAAATTCTGAGCATAGATTCTGAAAGAGCACAAAATTCTGATTCTAATCCATTGTTCTAATGTTTCTGCTGACATACTTAATCGGTCGAAAAATGAAGAAACATTTTGTCGCAAAACTTTCGGCCCACCCGTTATTTTACAGATTTGTTCTTGAAATTTTGATAAAATACGACTCCAAGAAAGATTGTATTTTCAAGTTCCATGCTATTTCTTATGGAAAAGGGTTAGTTTTAAGACGAATGCCAAACTCAATAACTTTCCATGTATATCCTGTCTCTATCGGATGCATTTCATTCATTCGTGAGGCATTAATGACTTCATGGAAAATCAAAATCGACTTTCACTTCATGCATTTCAGTTTTAAAAGACTCCGGATCGAAATTTTAGGGGAATTTTTTTCTGAGAATTTCTAGATTTTTCAAAAGAATCGATTTATTTTTCGTTAGTGATGTGACCTCGTACGTATATATATTGTTTTAGAAGAAGGTTTTTAGAGGTCGATCTTACTCAAAATTTTACAATAGATACGTTTCGTGCAATAGAGTCAATTCTAAAATTTTCTAATTTTTTTTTGTCTGGTTAGAGATATATTTGCTGACTACCCATTTTAATGGGCTGATTAATTTCAATCAATAGTTGACCACAGATATTTAAACATTCATTTTATTTTTCAGCATCAAGATATGAATAAAAAACAACATAAAGAAAAACGAAAAGGAATCACAACTTCCTTTGGTCAATGTCCATTAACATTTGATGGTGCATATGGTCTTACTAAAGCAAAATATTCTATTGAATTTTGTCAACATAGAAAAAAACCATCGAATCGGATTATATCGCCATTTCATGGAAAAGCATAGATTAAAACAATTTTATGCTCGACATTTGGCATGAGCTGTTATCAATAATCAAGATCCTAGGATAACAAAATTATTTGATGAAAATGACGATATAATTGATCATTTATATAGAGTTCTATGTCCAGTTACTAATGGACGAATTAATTTACCAGGATGTGATATACCAATTGAATCAAATGTATGATGTCGACATCATAAAATTCCATTTAGCGCATTAAAATCTCATTTTCGACATTATCATCATGTTTCTGATGCATTCGCACAAGATTTAGTGGATTGTTTCGAAGAAATTCAAAATAAAAATAATACTACTTCGGCCTAATTAACTCAATCAACACAATTATGAGAAATGGAAATCTGGACACTGTTTCTTTTGATATCTCTCTTATTTGTTACAAATTCTACATCTGTGAAAAAATAAATAAAATTAAATAGTTTGATACAAATATTTAAATCATTCTTTGTTATGAATATTGGATTAGGTGTCCATAGTTCAAGTTAGTGAGCTCATAGAAAATGAATTAACGAGAAAACTATCTCAGCGTCTCAGACTGTTCAACTTCATAGTATGCCTCCGAACACATCTCAGTCAGATCAAGACAGAGTTAAAAATTTCTATAGGCAAGAGAATTCTGAAAAGTTAAAAACAAAGATTTTTTTGTCTGAAGGGTGTGGATGTGGATGAGGTGTGAGTGTGAATGGGTGTGTGAGTCTTCTCTTCATCCTCACCCACACCCCTATCTAGTAGATATAATGTTAAGATGCCACCTGATGAAGTCCCGCCATGGACAGAAACAACCGTTGTCGTCGTTCGGCGAATTGTCTAATTAATACTGTATGAGTCACATGATAATTAATGTTTGTTTACTATTGTATTCAAGTTTTCTAATTTTAGCGATTCCAAATAATTGGTCGAGCTTCTATGGTTTATTTTGAATTATTTTAAAATATTTGCATATAGCAAGTTTTCCTTTTTGAACCGTTCTTATTTAGTGACTATTAGAATTTTATGAATTTTATTCATCTCCTTATAATTAATCGATTGATGTTCGTTGCTATGGAACATCCAATCAAGAAACACATTCTATGTCTGTTTGTTTTTAATTACACAAATTATTTTTTTTTTCATGTGAATCTCTTACAAAAAAAAATGAGCATTCACAATTCTAAACTACAATGTTACATTGATAAAACTTTTTCACAATAAGTCTATCGAATAGATAATCAACAATCCATCTATAGTCCAATTATTACTCAATCAATCGAAAAACAGATCGGCTGCTATTCTAAATAGCATAAATCACTCAATTTCAAGTTTTTAATAACGAATTTGCTAACACTAAACATTTAACCAATCATTCAATCGTCCCATATCACGAGCATGAAAAAAAAAAATTTATAAAAACAAACAGCTCAAACACTCTTGATTTCGTTTCAACCAATGATTCACTGTTCCCATGTCCCGCAGCTCGAAAAAATTCTATTCTATAGAAACAAATAGCTCAAGTACTCTCGATTTCGTTTCAACTAATAATTCAATGCCCTTATGTCCTGCAGCTCGAAAAAAAATCTATTCTATAGAAACCAATAGTTCAAATACTCTCAATATCATTTTAACCAATCATTCAATATCTTCATGTTCCAAGCACCGATATAGAAACTGCACTATAAGGGAAATGATGAGTAAGATTTACTTTTACAAGAAAGCAATTAATAGAATGACTAATGGCTTTTCATCAACAAAACAACAGTACGAAGATACTTTTTATTGTCCGAGAAGTAATAGTAAATATAAATTTGACAAGAAACAAACGAGTTTTCTTGAATATGTGTTAGAACACTTTTTAAATAAACAAAATGAAGTAAGTGATTGTAATCTCAACTAGATTCCATTCCAAACTCCATTGCAACATACATATCAACAAATGAACCGCGAAGTTAGATTAATTGAATAGTGTGTCGAATGTTACACACCAGGATGTTTTCAATGATAATTTTTTAACTGAGTTTCGGTTAACTTATATAAAATGCTTTGAAAAAACTCATGAAAGAACATCCCTTGTCGTTCCATCTCTTGTTACCGACAGAAAATGATGCTCAAAGTAATCTTAATATCATGAGCTTTCTATCAGAAATATTGATAAAAGACTCTCTTTATCTAAGACTCTTTATTATATATACATTTCTTTATTCATATAAATTTAAAGTTATCACAACCACTACACATACACTCGTTATCCTAACACGAGCAGATGATCCAATTGTTGATATTTGTAATACAATAGCTGGTGAATCCATCCGTGGATCTGGCGTGAATTATCCATTCACTGAAATTCCATCGGATGCCATTGACGGTTCATTAACTACAAAATACCTCAATTTTGGAGATTCACTATTCGATGTTCTGATTCAAGTTCTCCCGGAATAAATACTGGATTTTATGTTACACCTACTATAAGTAGTGCATCTATTGCTGTTGGCTTTCTTTTTGCGATTCCAAATGATGATGCTAATCGTGATCCAAGAACAGTAACTCTTGAAGAAACAAATGCAACAAGTACTGCAGATTTCCATTTTGGAACAAATTGGATATTGATTTACAGCGATTCAATCGGTATTAGTGCATCGACTCCTCCTGGTCGTTTAACATATGTTTCTCAACAATATTTCTCCAACACAATTGCCTTTAGAAGTTATCGACTTCTTGTTACTTCAGAACGTGGTACTGAGAATTTAGTTCAATATGCCGAAGCTCATATAATTGGATATATTTAAGACTTTTAAGTTTAAATATTTATATCAGTTGTAAAAAGAAAGAAAAAAACTCTTCTTTATTTAAATGAGAAATAAATATGACAAGTTTTTTTTTGTTTTATGCAAAGTATTAAAAAAAAGCAACCAGTTCTAATTTACTTGGCTAAATTAAAAGAAAATCAGTCCTGTGTAATAAATCATTTTATTTGCCTGTTTTAATTTCCATACATTCATCTGGACGAAATCTCTTCTTAACACAAATATTCGGTGCACAACAAGGATTTATGCCGAATTTACATCGAACACAATTTTTGCCGAATTCACGAGTATCCAATGATCCTGTATCATCATTATCACTATCACCATTTAACATTGAACGAAGAAACATTCGAGCTTTCTTATCTGTTAATTCCATATCATTATCATTGTCATAAAATAAACGTTTAGCATCCGAAGTTGAAACGACGAAAAGTAATACACAAATAGCAAGATAAATAAATGTCTTCATAGTCGTTTTTTTTCGAATACGTGTATATCAAACTTAACAGAAGTATATGGTTCCAATAAATCTTACCTTGATGAACTGTAATTCACCAGAAATTATTCGTCTTTTTATACTATCGTTTATTCTCTCATGGCACTTAGTAAATATTTATCAGAGAAGTATTTAGTGACATAGCCCATTCATCAGATTGGTAGATTTTTTTATTCATCATTGCCATTATTCATACATAAGTAAATAGTAATGAGAGAGTAAGTGTAATGTAGAAAAAAAAAGCTTGTTAGCTCAGCCCCAAAGGGGCTGAAATGTGGAACTCACGTATATTCTTCAGATTCATTATACTAATATGAAATATAGATAGTATAATATCACGGATTTTTTTAAATTGCTGACAGGCATCGTTATTTTCCATTTTCTTTGTTGCTATGCGCTCCGTATTTTTCATTTTTAATACTCCTTTTTTCTTTAATTTTACATTTTTATCATAAGAATCATTGAATTATATGGTGAATTAAACTGTTTAATATATATATGTATGTGTATATCCATTATTTAAAACCTGGTCGCTAAGGTCTGTCTTTGGGGGGTATGTCTGTCATGTTCTCTTTCGTTGCTATGGTCTGTAATGGAGGCCTGTCTGTAAGAGGAGGAGAAGGGAAGCCGCGAAACCTTGACCTTAAAACTGACACTCACTATTTTCTTCGAAAATATACGTGAGTTCCACAAAATAGTATCGCAATAAACTAAATCAATAAAAATAGTTATCAGAAAAAGCACATATGTCTTAAAAATGAAAACTAGCAAGGGTATAAATCTTGCTTTACACAAGAAAAAAATGTTTATTATTTATGAAGGCTCAAATTACTATTAATACAGTAACTAAACACTAGTTTTCAAGATGATTGGATTATTTATTTGATATCAACGCATGAAAAAAAAAGAAACTTGCACAAATCTGCGCTTGAACACCTTTTGGTTTTCACCAAAAACTCATATAAACCATTGAAGAAGACGATCTTTATGATAAATTTTACCAGTAGATGAACGTATTTTCCCCTATAAAAATCTTTTTCTATTCGTTTATCTATATTAATTATTTTATCCTATTTACATCATTCTATTGTACGCTTCACAATTATTTCTTTTTGTCGAAAATGTTAAAGATTTCAGGAAAAAGATATCTCAGTTAGTGTAGTAAAAGTAGAAGAATAATCGATATACAATTGCTTTTTCTGTTTGATCTATACTTAAAATTTTTGTTAGACTGTACTAAAGCACTTGAGAATATCAAATTAAGTTCAATAGTTGCTGTATTGATCATGATACATTTATGTCAAAATCTGCAGAATTTTCAGCAACAAAGTCACTCAAGCGGACTTTTAAAAGCATACAATCGGTGAGATGAACGCTCGAAAATTTGAAATATATATTTTTTTTGTTTGCTTTGTTCTGATTTCGAGCTCCTCGGCAGCCATCAGATTCCGTTCACTATACAACTGTATCCTATCAAACATTCATTTTCTATTCCTCAACCACTTTTAGAACCCTGAATATTAATCAAAGATTCAAGTACTCGAGAAAAGAAACAACGCAAGCATAATGTTGAATGCTTCAGTAAAACCAAGTCAAGCAGAATAATAGTTTCAAATGGTATGATTAATTTTGATTTAATGAAACTTCTTCAAAAAGTGGTTTACAAATGTCTCTTTTATTCAGCTACTTTAGTAGGATGATTTATGTTCGACATATATTTTCCTTAATTTCATAGTATTCTAAGAAATAGTTTACATTAACTAATGAAAAATAACAAGTAAGACAGGAATTTATAAGCGTTTTTGACGAAAAAAAACAACCATAAAGAATTTTGTGTTTTGAATATTCGAAAAGTTTTTTTTAATACCGATTTTATATTTTATCACATAAATCAATCATTTATTAAATGAGCTCCTTACATGGCATTTGAGAAGGTGTGGGTGTGAAGAGCGTGGAGTGTGAATGAACGGAAGATTCACACCCAAACCCCACATCCATACCAACACCCACCACATTCTTGCCTTCCCAAAATATTTTATTCGAACTTCTTACGAAAGCTCGATGTATAAAAGAAAACAATTTTGAACTAACTTTGAAGATAAAATGGATGAACAATCGATTCTGTCATGAGTAGAACTAAAGACAGGTGTGATAACTTCCGAGGAGATACCTGCCAACGATATCAACTCTTCATAGACACATGTTTAAATGTTTCTTTTTACTTAGTTATAACCGCCATATATGTGCCCAAAAAAATAAGCATAGGTTTTGGATAAGCTTCTTCCTTTATTGCGGAAATTGAATTTCTTTCGATATTAGCAACAAAGTCATCCAAAAAGCGTGAAAATTATGCTCATATTTATCGATTTTTCTTATCATCGCTTAATTTAAGAGCAAAACAAATAGCATATGCAAAATCAGTGCAATAAACTACATTGCAACAGACATATTTTGACCAAATAATTTTTTTAAGCAACACTCGCCTGTGGTTTCCCTTAGCAGTTTTTTTCCAAAACTTTTCACGTGGGTCCTCTGAGGTCAGTTTTGCTTAAAAAATTTATTTGGTCAAAATATGTCTGTTTCAATGTAGTTTATTGCACTGATTCTGAATATGCTATTGGTTTTGCTCTCAAATTGAGCAATGATAAAAGAACGGATAACTATGAGCATAATTTTCACACTTTTTGGATGGCTTTGTCACTGATATCGAAAGAAATTCAATTTCCTCAAGAAAAGAAGGAGCTTATCCAAAACCTATGCTTATTTTTTTGGCCCATGTATGGCGATTATAACTAAGTAAAAAGAATCATTTAAACAATGTGTCTATGAAGAGTTGATGTCCTTGACAGGTTCGCCCTCAGAAGTTATCACACCTATCTTTAGTCCTATTCATGCCTGGACTGATCGTTAGCCTGTTTTACCTTCTTATTCCATTAAATTGTTATTTTCTACATTGAGTCTTTTCAGAAACTTGGAATAAAATATTTTGGGAAAATAAAATTAATGATGCATATTAGAAAATGACAATATTCCAGCCTTGTTTTCAAAAATAACATAGTTTTAAGACTATTTCAGAAAAGTGGTATTTTAGAATTGTTTTTATAAAAACCGATCTGAATATACTAAAAACAATATCTTTATAGACAACTCGACAAGCTATATTCAACGATGTCAAAATATTGGCAAATAAGAATTCTGCTCAAATTTCGACTTGCTAGCACCCTGCTTCGAATTGTGTCGCCATCTATTCGGACCATTATATTAATTGAAGGTAACAACCTACTCTGTTGTCTGAAGATAATTCTTTAATTTCTTCTACCTTTTAAGCTTTAAACTGAAGACAATCGTCACTGATTTCCATTGTAATGTATTGTGCATCAAGTGTAAATTCACTTAATAATGGTATCTGATCATCCAATAGAAACGACAGTTATTGTTTACTGATATTTGCGTCATGCTTATATCAAACAAAGATTATTTGTTCGTAAAGAATGAATTTAATGTTTTCTTTTAAGAAAAGTCAAAGATCTTAGGGTTTACTTTTCTCATTGTATAAATAGAATGTGTCTACTTTGAGTGGTTTTTTTTTAGTTAATATATCAGATGGCAAGTCCTGGTGAAACAATAATATTTCGCGATCGAGTTGATGCTGGTCGTCGATTAGCAGCTCACAATGAATTACAAAGAGTGAAATCATTGTCACCAGATGAAAAAGATTGACATCTTGTTATTAGTTTACCACGTGGTGGTACAGTTGTCGGCGATGAAGTTGCTAAACTATTAGGAATAACTCATGATTTAGTATTTCCAAGAAAAATTCCATGTCCAGGAGAGTCAGAATTTGCTATTGGTGCTGTATCAGAATTTGGCAATGTTTTTTGGAATGATTATGCCAAAAAACATGGTCTTATTAATGATCCAAGTGTACAAGAGAGTAAAAACAAACAAATTGAAGAAGCTCGGCGACGAAAACAAGTTTATCGCGGAAAACGTCAACCACTGAATGACTTAAATGGAAAAACAGTTATATTAGTTGATGATGGATTAGCTACAGGTATTGTTTTAAATATACAGCAAACGATGTAGATTGTCGATAAACATTAGGTTTTTTTCTTCATTTTAATAGTACACTATTTCAAAAAGTGTTAGATAGATCTGAGGTACATGATATGTTCCAAAAACACATTGGAAAAAACCAGTATTGTGCTCATTTTTTATGCTGATAATAAACAGAACAATGGTTCTGGTACAGTATGTAACTTATAGTGTAATATATCTTGTTTTGTAAATAACATCTTTAAATTATTCGAATTTCGATGCATTTTCAAAGGTTCTCATCTAGACTTATAAAAATAGTACTTTCAAATGTTTAGGAAAATAGAAAATAATTATATTGGACAAGTGCAATTTGTTGATAATTTCAACACTCATAACAATATGAATATCAACAGACTTTGCAAATTTTATCTGTGCAGTTTTTATAAAT